CAGTGGCAAGAAGAAGATGAACGTGAGCAGCGGGAGTTGGCTAGGCTTATTGAGGAGCAGCAGCAGCTGCAGCAAAGGGTGCAGCAGCAGCGGCGGGAGATAGAGGAGGCGCAGCAGCAGTGTAGAACTGTGGTGACGCAGCGAGCCTTTCTAAAGTGGGGTTTGCTGCAGGCAGCAGTAAAGAAAGCAGACACAGCGCAGCAGCAGCAGCAGCAGCTCACCATGAGGCTGCTGCAGCAGTTCCTCAACAAACGAAGAATCGAAGCAGCAGTCAAGCAGCAGCAGCCGGAAGAGCAGCAGCAACACTCGCAGCAGAACCGGCAGCACACAGCAGCACAGCTTGCAGCAGATGCTGCAGCAGCTGCTGCTGCTGCTGATGCTGAGCTGACAGCCTTCTGGCCACCGACATACAGCAGCAAGAGCTGCAGCAAGCACAAGTCACACGCTTACAGTGCTGTCAACAGCAGCCGCAGCCACCGACGCAGCAGTAGCAGCAGCTGCAGCAGCAGCAGCAGAAACTGGAGCAGCAGCAGCAGCAACAACGACATAGCTGCATTCTCCCGCTCGACACCAGCGAGGCACAGGCCTTCAGGTGTACATACACTGCAGAACGGAGAGCTACATACGCCTCGACACCCGCAGCGCTCTCTCCGCGCAGCAGCAGTTGCTGCTGCTGCTGCTGTTGCTGCTGCTGCTGCTGCTACGCTAGGACACAAAGCCTCAGCAAAGAGGGGCGGGGCCTCGCTGTTGAATGAGCCGCAGAGCAAGAAGCATCGGCAGGCCACGCAGCAGCAGCAGCAGCAGCAGCATTCACAGAAGCAGCGCCTGGTTTGCGTTAAGAAGGAGCCGCAGCAGCAGCAGCAGCACTCGCAGCAAAGGCAGCAGCTGGTGCAGCAGCAGCAGCAGCACAAGCGTGAGTGTGCACAGCAGCACGCGCTGCAGCAGCCGCGCAAACTGACGCAGAAGCAGCTGCAGCAGCGAGCTCAAGCCCTTATAGCAGCAAGACAAGCTCTAAGGAGAAAGAAGCAGGCCGCGCTAGCAGCCGAAGCAGAATGCAGCAACAGCAGCTGCAACAGCTACAGCAGCAGCAGCGGCAGCAGCACCTGCGACAGCAGCGCCATCAATATCAACAAAATCGCCAAAGCGTGGGACGAAAGACTTGCGGTGAGTCGCAGCATCAGCAGCAGCAGCAGCAACACCTAGAGCAGCAGCAGCAGCAGCAGCAGCAATATCTCCAGCAGCAGCAGCAGCAGCAGCAGCAGAAGCAACAGTACAGCACATCAGCAGCAGCAGAAGCAGCAACGCCTCCAGGAGCAGAACTAGAAGCAGCAATACCTACAACAGCAGCAGCAGCAGCAGCAGTACCTACAGCAGCAGTAGGTAGACACTGTGTAGTGTGTGCATGCGCTCGTTTTGATACATCTCTTGTGCTGTTGCTGCTGTTGTGTATGTTTCTGCTGCTGTTGCTGCTGCTGCTGCTGCTGCAGGCGCATAGAAGACATATGCTGCAGTCCTTAATGCCCCTTCCTCTGCGGCCTTCTGCTGACGTGGAGACGGACAGTACAGCTGCTGGCGCGACGAGCTCAACAGCAGCAGCAGCAGCAGCAGCCCCAACAGCAGCAGCAGCAGCAGCAGCAGCAGGAACAGGGGCCGGCGGATGTGCAGGGCCCAGCGCTGCTGCTGCTGCTGATTCTGCTGCTGATGGTGATGCAGCCACAGGAGAGCGGAAGATCCGTGTCGGGCCTGCGGTGCTGCAGTGGGAGACAATGAGTTCTATAGAGGAGGCATTGGGGCCCACAGCCCGGCGGGTATTTGCAGCAATGCAGGGTGTGGGGTGTTCTGCTGCTGCTGCTGCTTCTGCTGCTTCTGCTGCTTCTGGTGTCGGTGTCTCCGCCTCAGCCCCCCTGCTGCAGTATACCCGCTGCAGTGGGGGGCCGGCGCCAAAGCATATACAGCGGGAGGTTCTCCGTGCTGTTCATGTACGCAACCTGCTGCTGCTGCTGCTGCTGCACTGTTGTAGCTGCTGCTGCAGCTATGCTCGCGTCTTGCTGCTGCTGCTGCTGCGGCGGCGGCTGCAACTATGCTTTCGTCTTACTTCTGCTGCTGCTGCTGCTGCTGCGCTGCGGTGGCTGCGGATCTTTTCTCGTCTAGCTGCTGCTGCTGCTGCAGCTGCTGCTGCTATGTTTGTTTGTACAACAGAACTGGGTTGCTGCAGGTGTTTGTTTTTCTTGTTTGGGTTGCAGATTGGGTATCAGTGCTCGTGCTGCTGCTGCGTGTTCTGCATCTGTTTTGCTTCTGCTGCTGCTGCTGCTGCTGCTACTGTTGCTGCTGCTGCAGACTAGGCTGTCTAGGCGAGAGCCCCCCTTCTTCTGTCTGCCCGAGGTCCGCCTTGCTGCCGTTGCTGACGCCTGCCACCCCATAAGCAAACTGACATCTTTCACAGGGGAGAGATTCACAAGGCCAGGGGAACGCATCTGGGTCTTTGGTGCTCCCTATCCAGTTGCTGTTTGGGTCGGGCCCCCCATCAAGGTAGCTGCTGCTGCTGCTGCTGCTGCTGCTGCTGCTTCTGCTGCTGCTGCTGCTGCTGGTGCTACTGCTAGTGCTTCTGCTGCTACTGTTCCTGCTTCTACTGCTTTTTACTTCTGTTAGTGCTGCTGCTGTTGTTATTGTTTCTGGGCCAGGAGGCAATCCGTTTGTTGACGCGTATGCAGCAGCAGCAACAGCAGCAGCAGCAGCAGCCGCAGCAAAGAACGAGGGTTGCAGCAACCCCGTGTATCGTGCTGCTGCATCGCAGCTGGTGTTGTTTTTTTTGTGTTTGTGGTGGGGTTGGCTGCAGAAAGGAGAATTCAAAATCCTGGGGATCCGCACAGGAGAATTTCTGACGCCAGCTGAGGGGGCCGAGGCGGCGAAGGAGCTGCAACCCACGGGCCAATACGACAGCATCAGGACATGTGATATTTATGTGCGCTGCTGCTGTTGCTGTTGCTGTTGCTGCTGCTGCTGCTGCTGCTTTGTTGCGTTTGCAGCTTGCGGTGCGTTGTCCTTGAGTGTATATATATATATATATATATATATATATATATATATATATATATATATATATATATATATATAT